TGAAAATGCTCCTATTTCAAGCTTTTCAAAGAACAAGCCTTTATTGCTGAATGACATCTATTCAGCTGCACTTCATCCATGTAATTTAAAATAATTACTAATTAAAGAAAACAAGAGACTGTAATAGCAATAATAATCGTGCAAGTTACTGTTTGCTGGAGCCTTGCCTAGGGAAAATAAAGGAGGGGAAAGTTTCAGGAACTGACTTTTGAGTACTTAGACTGAAGTAAGGAACAAGATACCTCTTGGGAGTAGTCAGCAAATGCAGAGATGATTTTGTATTTGCTCTGTAACATCAACACAGTCCTTTTTTTCAAGGGAGTTGTAGGCTGATACAGAGGGCAGGCTGCCATTGAAGAGAACGAGCCAAGGAGAGTGTAACTTTACATTGGGCAAATTATGCATCCACCTCAGAGTATTAGCTGAGGAAATAAATCTGAAAGTCTGTGTAATACACTTGAACAGAGCATTCTTGAAACAAGACAAAAGGTGGGGCAGAGCATCTGAGTGACCAGTGCACCTATGGGTGCTATTTCTGTGTAATGCACAGTAGTACAACCATCAAATTTTGTGGTAAAATGAATTTGTCATATATGAACCTAGATTCAGTCAATTTCTTGCTTCCAAAAATAACAAAATGTAGGCTTAAATCATGTTTATATTCATATGGTATCTTTATTTTGAATTAGCTTGGAGTTGGGACCATTGTCAACGCTGCATCAAGTCACCCGTGTCTCTGTCTAACAATATTGGAAATCCAACCACCTCTCTGGTAGCCTGTACTAGTGCTACACTAGTATCCCTGTGAAAACTTCTTGCAAAGCCTGGCCTGAGGCTCCCAAGCTGTACTTTGTCCTTGTCCTTTGTTCTATTGCCTGGTACTACCGAGAGGTGGTTGACTATCATGTTATAACTCTCCTGTTGCTGTTGGATCACCCTGCTAACCATGTTTTTGGCAGGATGAACAAGCCCAGCTTCAACTTCTCTTCATAAATCTAGCTCTCTATCCCTTGTGCTGTACCCACTCCAGTTTCCCTGTCTCTGTTGCAGTGGGGGACGTAAAACCAGACTCAATGTTCCAGGTACAGCTTCACCAGCACTGATGAGAGGGGCAACTTCCCTTGGTCGTGTGGCCACGCTTTTAGTAGAGCCAAATATGCAGTTTGCTGTATCTGTGATGACAGCCTGTTGTTGGCTCATATTCAGGCTGATGTTCGTGCAAGTCCCAGGTTCTTTTTAGGTTGCTCATCAGAATTGCAGTAAGTACCTGTGGCGCCTGTGTTCTAGCTCTCATTATTTGTCTGTATACACCAGTGAGGACTCCTTTACCACTAGGAAATTGTTCTGTTATGTGGATGATAATTTTCTTTCCTAACAGAAAAGCTGCAAAACAGTTTTCTGGCTTCTGTTATTAATCAAACTTTTAGGCTAGTTAAGAGTGGAGTAAAGGCTATTGTGGTAAACTCCATCAATGTATACAGCTAATCAGGGAAATGTGTCTACATGTCTCCTATTACTTATCTTCTTCAGAGCAAGGCAAACATAGGTCCTTACTCCATGCTGGCCATGTAAATGAAAACTTTAATTAAATGAAAACAGAGTGGACTGTGAGGTGCACT